ACTCAAGCATCACTATTTGGTAATCTCAAAAGTAAATCATAATAGCTTGGCAGAATTAGAATTAGTATAACCCTAAAAATTGAGTAGATTTAGGTTCTAGGTGGTTTAATATTAAGCTTTATTTTCTTTAGTGTACCTAAACTTGTTATATTCTGAAATTTTTTAAGGTCCATATGTATCACTTGCAGACCGAGTTTGCTTTGCAAAATCGATAAGTACTCCTGTTTTTTCGATAAAAAAGCTTGTTGAAATATTATTATTATTATTAAATTATTATTATAATTGAGGAAGTAAATCCAACTAAAAAAAGTTTTATTAATCAATAAAGTTCTTTAGTAATCCCACAATGTGTATGTGTGCATATGCTGTTCCTTGATCTCATAGTCGAGCAGTCTCGATTGTAACTAAATTATATAATCATTTAATATTATAATACAACAGGCTCTAACAAAATTAATGTCCTTATCTTTAGGAACTTTCTAAATATATGCGTGGTGACCAAAATGCGGAACGTGAGCTCCAAAGCATTCAATACATAATTAGCTTGGGCATTGAAAGAGAAGAATTGAGAGATGAAATTTTTGTACAATGCATGCGACAAACAACAAATAATCCCAATTTGGAGTGGACGGATCGTTTGTGGCTTCTAATGTGTCTGACAATAGTGGCTTTCCAACCGAGTAAATTGTTATTTAGGTATGTATAAGATACTTGTATTTAAATTGTATTTTTTTTTTTTTTAACTGAACAAATTCAGTAATCAGGCTTTCGATAAGTTGGATATGTGTGTCTGTCCGTCTATCTGTTTTAATACCCTGAACCCATTGAAAATGGGAAATCAGATTATAATGGTTTTGTTAAAAGTATGTAACAGGAGAAGGAGGCGTGGTAGACCCCACAAAGTATATATATTCTTGATCAGGGCGACGAGTCGAGTCGATTTGGGCCTGTCTGTCCGTCCGTCCGTATGTATGAACGCGTCCATCTCTGAAGATAAAGGACTTGAATTTTTTTTGCTAGGTCCGTGTATATCACGCGCAATCGAGTTTATCACTAAAAATCGATAACTAATCCCGATATTTTATCATCGATTAAAAACCTTAAGCTAGTTATTTAATTATATTTCCTATGCCTTTAGAGCTAGAGCTTCCAAATAAATGTAGACTTGTGTGTATTTTATATAATTTCGGTTTTTGTTGCAACTTACCGCCCACCCCTATATCCACCACCCACACCTTTTTAAAATACGTATTTCAAGTACTATGCATTGGATTGTACATACATTTGAACATTATTATTAAGTTCTGAAAGTTTCATTAAGATCGTACGTCTAGTAATTAAATAAATTCAAATAAATTCGTTTAATGTTGCCCACACTGCAGCGCAGTTGCTGCTTACTGCGCAGTTAACAGAGAGCGTTCTAATACGTGCGTTTGTATGTATGTGTGCCTAAAAGAAGTGCAGAGTGAATAGAATATCAACTTGGAGTGTATCTCCTAGTCGAGCCCTCTCGACTAGAGTCTTTTTACTTGTTGTATATGAGTCGGTTGACATTTATTTGACAGCATCGTTTTTATACTCATTCACGAAAGTGAAACGAGTATATTGGTGTTTTTCAATGTCCTTCCGTCTGTTCATATGAACGCAATTTTTTCGGCGCATTCGCACGCACGCATGATATCACACTATACATGGATATGCATGGGTTCGCCAAACCACAAGTCTCTGTATTTATATATAATTTTATAAATAATTTTCGATAAGGTTTTTTATCGATACCAAAATAACGGGATGAGTTTATAAACTTAATATGTGCGCTGTATATACAGACATTTAAAAAATATTGAAGTCTGTAGCTTTTAGATCTTCTGAGATCGACGCGTTCATACATACGGGCAGATGGATGGGCATACAGACAGCCGGGCAGATGGATGGGCATACAGACAGACGGGCAGATGGGCAGACGGACGGGCAGACGGACGGACGGACAGACAGAGAGACAGGGATAAATCGGCTCAGGTTTTCAGTGTGGACTTACTATGGGAATTTAATTGTTTAACTAGTGGATTGATTAACCTCATGAGGATTTTAAATTTTGAATATGACGGACAGACAGGGCTCGTCGATATGATCAAGATTTCCTGATTTCCCACCGAACATGGATTTAGGGTATTAGGAAAGGCACTTCATTATGAAAATTCAAGTTCAAATATTGAATTCGGTAAATTTTGAATAGTTTCATATAATGTAACAACAAAAAATTGGGTAAATAAATATTCAAATACTAATTCTTCGTTATTAATCTTTTTCTTTCAGATATTACTTTTCTTTTTTAAAAGAAAAACTTGAGGTTTTGGATGGAAAACTAAGACAGTATGCCCAGTGGTGCTTCGATAATTGCAAATGTACAAAAGTATCGACGCGATTACAACCACCTTCAAGTGTGGAAGTTGCGGTAGGTATAAAAAATAATCATTCAGGTTCATATTCGCAGCTCCAATTTATTTAAACGAAATGAGGAAAATGCCCTTTCTGTGTCTGCGTCCAGGTCATACTACCTCGCCGCAGAACCTTTTCGGCAAAGTCACAGACTTTTTCCATGCACTTCGCCAACAGCTTCTGCCAAATCGGTTCTTTCTTTTGGATTCCGTAGTTTTCCATATCTTATTTATGTAAATTCGAAAGTATCCATGGCCGGAGAGCAGTTGTTTCAAATAGAAAGACGTATCATCTTGCTTTCTCTTTATCCACTGCTCTAGATCGGGGATTATTCTAGCGGTTATTCTTTCATACGTTTCGCATGACAATCTTGGCTTCCAAGGAACTATGGTTTGCTGTCGTGTGTTATTTGCCGTCTGCTTCGAGAATTCTCTTCTTTGCCGGAGATATCATATTTACGCTCTTGGGAAAGCAAGTCAGCCGGTATGACTGATATTATCACATTCACTGTTGTGCTACGCCGACGTAATTCTCGCTCTTCTCTGCCCAGATAGCATCATTTTTCGCTTTACATCCGCGTCTAGTGTGTCTGTCCATACCTCACCCTCATATAATAATATAGCGTTTGTAGCTTTCATGAGGACTCTTCGTTTTCTTGACATTGCATGTTTTCCGCGTGGCATGCTTCAGCTATTCCCAGAAGGTGAGTTTACTGTCTAGTTAACTGTCCTCTCAGTCCTTATAAGTTTTACGCTTACTTGCATCTCTATTTCGGTTGGAATCTGCTTCCCTGTGAACAGACTTAAATCTGTTTTATGGGTGGAAAGTCCCAATCCTCCAGAGCTAAGCTTTGTATTGACGGCTGCGATATCGTCGGAATACCCAATTAGGTACGTGCCTTCAGCCATTTCCAATCTTAGGATGTAATCTTAGCGGATATTCCACAGGCCTGGTCCCAGGACCATTAGATCCTGCAAATATCAGGTATATGGAAGCGGTGCTAAAAGGAACCAAGGATATCGAGCTACCTAAAGACATTTTTGACGTCCAGCGTTGCTAGCAGAACCACTCGGCGCGAGTATGCATTTCCTGTTAGCGTAGGTCTGGCTTCCTGGACCACTTCATCGATAGCTCCCATTGTGGATTTTCCAACTCTGAATCCGTGTTGTCTGACATGCGTTTTACATCCTAAGTAGAAAAGTGCCCCGTCTTGATGTTACCACATTCAATATCTCGGCTGGTATATTGTCTGTCCTGGGATTCTTCCCCGGTGAAATTAAGGCTTAGCCATCGAAGTCAACAGGTACTCGATCATGCGTTTTGTAGATTTGTGTTGGAAATACTGTTTGGCACTGCTCCGTAGCTTCTCAGCTTCTTCTTAATATATTTTTTACAGCTTAATTTGAATACTATTAGACCTGGAGAATTCAGATTCATTTATTTAAAGATATTGATAACTAGAGTCAAATAAAAAAAAATTAAATAGCCTATAAAAATTACAACACATTATAACATTATAACCAACCCGATGGGGGTATTTAATTTGCCAATCCGGCATTTATTATTTTAGTGGATTCGAAGATTTTGTAATTTACAGATTTTGTATACCACTTCCCCTTTGCCGCCAATTAAAAACAAATAATAAGGCTCTAGTCGAGACGGCTCGACTAGGAGATACCCTGAACTCTCCAATCTGGTATTCTAATAGTTTTGCACTTCTTTTATGCACATATACATACATACACATGCATCCGCAAGCACGTATAACAACGCGCTCTGCTAGCTGCGCAGTAAGCAGCGACTGCGCTGCATTGTGGGCAAATATTATGAGAATTAACTTGTTGAATAATTTAATTGTAGACGTACAATCTGAATCAAACTTTCAGAACGTCTCTAACATTTGAAATGCGTTTTTTTTTTTAAATTGTACGTGAAGGGAACGTGGTATCCAAATTCTGTTGAGTACAAAATGTTTATATTCATCATATGTATTTACACAGTAAATCAGAAGCTTTCAGGTCTAATAATGTTTAAATGAGGCTGCAGCTGCAGCTCAGGCTCTTCGAGATATTCGTTCAAATTTTCGATGGGTAAGCTTTTTTTTAAATACCAACGGCGTTCCCTACTCGGGCTCCAATTACAACATATTTCTTAATCATATTTAAAATTCGTATTAATATGATACTTGCTTAGGTCTATATTCAGCTGCACCTATTTATAGCACTTCTGTGTTTTCCTTCTACTAATAGTTTGTTCTATCGTCGTCAATGCATTTTATATAAAGAGCTTGTTCAGCTCAAGTGGCCTCGTCTCTGTGCCAGCGGCGCTTTTCTCGTTTTAATTTAGGATGATTGCTGTGTCTTTCGTGCAATTTTATAAAATAATATTTAGACATCTAAATGTCATTACTAGGAGAGGCAAGTGACAAGTGACCAGGGGGTAGGAAACTCAGAAACATTAGGAAAACTAGTGTTGGGGTCATGTTATTAACAGAATGCTGTTAATAGCATAGAATAGTATGGTATGGTGACACATTAGACGGACCAAATCACGCTGTTTCTACAAGAGATTCATATTATATAGCTTGAATTTACAAAGGTTGCTAATTTATATTTATAAATGCATTTTTTTTAGGCTATGAGACGACTCGGCACAATTGTCTGTCGATTTTTCTTTTTAGATTCCCGAACAAAGGCTATTGACGTTCATCCCACAGATACAGCTATCGATGCAGTACAAAAACTTGCAGATAAACTTAATTTGGCATCAATTGAAGGTTGGGCAATATTCCAATCACGTCCAGATGGCGAAGAACATATAAAAAGTTTTGAATATTTATATGATGTCATCTCCGAATGGGAGTCTAAGCAAAACTCTCCTAATAGTTACAAAAGACATTCAAATGCGTCTACATACGGAGAAAATAGATTTGTTTTTAAAAAAAGATTGTTCAAACCAACACGAGAATTATCCCAGGATCCTGTTGAAGTTGGAATGTTGTACGCCCAAGCAGTATATAGTATTGTAAAGGTAAGATATTTATTCTATACCGCCTTGCGTATCATATTTATAACCTATTTATAATCCACTTAAACGAATTGGCTGAACACTTTTCCTAACTGCTTCAAAATCTTGAAAAATGAATAACGATTTCTTAAAAATAAGTAAAAATAAAGGAAAATAGCACCCATTTGCTTTATCAAAATGATTACCAAATATTATGTTTTGGTCAAAGGAATACAAAATGGTTGCGGAATGATGAAAAATCAAATATTTTTATTTAGTTCGGCCCCTATTTGCCTCAGTTAACTCAAAAATTCTCTTCCTAAGCCTTTCATTAAGAATTTACGTTTTAAAAATATCGAATTGTCTCAATTGATTATTGGCGTACACCCGTCTTGCAAGATTACCCCAGACATTTTCTATTTTGTAGGGAACTGTCAACTGACATTCTCCTAAATACTCCTTTGTACGTCTGCTCATATGCATTATCCGTTGGAAAATTTATATACAAATTTATCAATACGACACAAAATTGTCTAAATTTTTCAAGTACATCTCGCTTTTGTCGCTTATATATCGGTAAGTTCTAAAAAACAGCTCCGCAACACAGAACATGTGTTCACATCTGACAAGCTGAACGAACGCAACCAAAAGCCTGACGAAACAATTCATATTATTGTTTCTAAGCTAATTGTTTGTACAATTAATAGAATTTAAAGTTAAAGTATGTATCTTTTGTTAAAATTTAAGTTTATGTTATATTATATATTGTGTTTGTGAAATTTGTATTTTAGTAACATTGATTACTGTATGTTGTTTGCTCTCCGTTTTTCATGTTTACCTAAGGCTTCAGTTGTGTTCCCCTGGTATTCCTCCAATGGGACTTTTAGCATTTTGTTCGTCATTATGTCTATATATTATAGGTACTTAAATTGGCTGCAAATATTTGCAAAGGTTGAAATGATTATATTTTGTTTTGCTTTGTTTTCTCGTTGGTTTTGCTTATTTTGCTTTAGACATTATTAGATCCCTTTTTATTCCTATTTTGCAAGGTTGTTCCTATCATTGCGAGCTTTGTGGCAGCCTTCACAAAGTATATATATTCTTGATCAGGGCGACGAGCTAAGTCGATTTAGCCCTGTCTGTCCGTCCATCCGTCCGTCCGTCTGTCCGTATGTTTGAACGCGTCGATTTCAGAAGATATAAGAGCTAGATGATTTTTTTTTTTAAATGACCGTATATACAGCGCGGATGTCGAATTTAGCTTCAAAAATCGATAACTATTCCCGATATTTTATTTACGATTAAAAACATTATCAATCAAGGCAGATGCCACTGTAGCTAATTGTGAATGATTTTTAATTTTTTCAAATTTTTCAATTATTCAATAGAATATGTAGATACTATGCTGAAAGTTTCATTAAGTTCGGTTAAGTCAATCAGCTACAGCAGTTTTCCTATACGTTCAAACTTCATATACATTCAAACTTCTAGCACATTCTTAGAATCACATCAGCAGTTAGTTTGGTTTAGATTTGCTAGATGGCGCTGCAGCAGTGAATCTATTTGAGTTTTGCCATTGCAAGTTCGAACGGTGAGGTGGCGTCGTGATAAAAGGCGTGGCGCTGGATCGCGAGGTCTCGGGTTTAAACCCAGGGCGCGTCGAAATTTTTTTAATTTTAAAATTTTTATATATTTAATTAAATGAGCTTTTTTTTCTCTTATATTTTTATATAAATCGAAATTGTAATTTGAACTATACTATATGTGCGTCTCTATTAGTTTGGTTATTCTTGCACATTCATAAAGTCACATCAGCAGTTAGTTTGGTTTAGACTTGCTAGATGGCGCTGCAGCAGTGAATGTATCTATCTGGTGGCGTCGTGATATAGGGCGTGACGCTCGATCGAAAAGTCTCGGGTTCAAATCTAGGGCGTGTTGTAGTTTTTTTTTTAATTGTTATATATATTTAATTAAATGAGCTTTCTATTTCTCTTATATTTTTATATGAATCGAAATTGAAATTTTGACCATACTAAATGTGCGGCTTTATTAGTTTGTATTTAGTATTTAATCGAGCGCTCTCAACTATAGTTTTCTTACTTGCTAATAATCAGATAATTATTTTCCAAGTAGCATTTCTTAATAATTATCTAAATATACTTAATTACAATGCCTGTAAATCTAAAAGTCTTAAGCTTCTTGTTGGTTTACAAATATGATACGCATCGCATATATTCATTATATTTCTTAGGTATTAAAACAAAATAAGGAAACGAATTTGATCGTTATTTCATTTATTGACTAATAGTAATAATGTTAATTAATTAAAATAATAATAATTATATATACTGCGTAAAATTGTATCATCTATTTTTTTTCCTCTAGTGCGATGAATTCCCTGTCAGTGAAAAAGTTGCTTTACAATTAGCTGGCTTGCAAGCACAGGTAGCACTTGGAGATCCATCTAATCAGCCGAAGCCTGAATATTACTGTGATATCAACAGCTTTTTACCAAACCGAATCTCTAAAACAAGAGAACAACAATTTTGGATACCGATTCTTGCTCAAGCACATCGACAATATGGATCATCAAGAAATGAATTAACTGCTAAAGTATTGTACTTAAGTTGTGTTATGCAATACCCACTTTACGGAACAACTATGTTTAACGTAATTTATAAAGGATATTGGAGCTTTGTCAATAATATAATTTTAGGAATCAATTGTGAAGGAGTCTTATTCATTCAACCTGAAGATAAAGTCATTATATATCAGTTTAAATATTCAGATATAGAATCAATTTTAATAGATCCAAGTGATAGTTTTCTTACAATATCCCTCAATCGCACTTCTAACCACTCGCCTAGATTTACGAATGAAGATAGCATTTTTCTTGATTTGCAAAAATGTTTTGTATTTGAAACAGTACAAAAGCATGAAATCGGTGCTCTTATTATTTCATATTACCCATCACTATCAAATTGGATATTAAGTAATTTTGATTGCACTAAAAAAGGAAAAGGAATTACCAATGAAGATAGAATTAGATTGTATCAAAATGTTATTATATGCCGCAGGCAATTAATAGACTTAAATATAGTGCGAAAACCTCATGAATCGGGAGGTTTCTTACGAAACACACTGAGACGCTTATCTAAACATCGCATTGAAAAATTACGAGCAGAACAAAGAACAAGTCCTCAAGACCACGGAGAAACATATAAAGGATTTCCTCATTCATTTTGGGCATTCAGTAAACAGCAACTCACGTTTTGTCTAAGCTCATTGACGGATCAAGATGAAACTACAATGATTCAAATATTTGACTCAATTTTAAAATTTTCCGGCCTTGGAATATCAGGTAATTTTGAATTAAATTAGTTTATTAATCAGTTTTTTTACCTAAAAAAATGTGTTCGTTGTGTGAAATGTTCGTTTTCGAGGCATTCGTTAACCATTGGTTTCAGTATAATTTATAAATGATAACGTGTGGATGTGTATATATGTAGTGAAGAATGATTAGAACATTAGCTGGCAGGGTTCTGGACTAGAGCACTTTTACTTGTTTTTTGTTAGGCTGAGATAGGTAAAAATTCGTGAAATTAAATTAGGTGGTTCTCTTTCAATACTCGGAACCCATTTTCAATAGGCAATCAGGGTATAATAATTTCGTTAAAAATATGTAACAAGCAGAAGGAGGCGTGGCAGACTCCACAAAGTACATATATTCTTGATCACGGCGACGAGCTGAGTCGATTTGTCCGTATTTATGAGCGCGTCGATCTCTGAAGATATAAGAGTTAGAGACTTAAAATGGTTTTTCGTAGGTCTGTGTATATCGAGTTTATCTTCAAAAATCGATAGCTACTACCGATATTTTGTAATCGATTAATAAACTTATCGAAAGCTTGTTTTTTAATTATATCTCCTACACATTTAGAGCTAGAGCTCCTAAATTTTAAATCTGGACATATGCATTTTATACAATTTCGATTTTTGTTGTGATTAACCCCCCACCCCTATATCCAACCCCTCACCCCAACCTTTGTAAAAGCGTATTTCAAGTATTAGAGGCTTTTAAGACTTATAACGACGAGTTTCATGAGCATAGTCCATCAACAAGAAAAGTTATTAAACAATTAAGTTTCCATAGTAAGTCCATGCTTATTTATGCCGGCATCCCTATTAATGGTGCCAAACTATCGATGGCACATCGAGTGCCTGGACTCGATAGTGGACGATAATATCGTAAAAGGTATGGGATTAATAATTATAATTTTTCTTAATTTGTATCATAGCTTGCGAATGATAGTTGATCGTTTTTTCTAATATGCTCTGCTTCATAGCATAACCGAAAAAATTGTGCAGACACAATCTCGCTATGAGCGGCTCTCTTTGTATTATTTTGAATCGGTTTTGGTCAAGCGCATTGACTTATTGGTGTGACGATCTCAAATGAGTGTCGCGTAAAGAGTAATACGATTTTCGCTTACACAAAGA